TGTCTCTAAGTGTAGCCCTGTGATAGACTGGTTACCTGTCCAGGTGAACCTGCCTTCACCCTGAGTCAGCTGGGATAGACTCCAGCCCCCCACGACCCTGGTGAGGACTAAGTGCATAGATAATGGATGGATGGATTCTATAAATGCCGTTCATTTGACCAGAGCCTGGCTAGCTCCAAACATGACGGCCATTGGTGCTTTAGCATAATCTGTGTAAACAAATCATAGTTTGAGTTGCTGGAGGCTGTTTTGTTACTCCGACGATGCATCGGAAAGTGAAACTGAGTTAATTTATTGATGAGCTGAGTTAATTTCCAGCTCTGTGCATTTCAGAAATTCTTCAGTGGAAAAGAAGTGGTGATCAAAGTCCCACAGTGTCTTTTTTTAAATCTCTATTTCTGACAAACAAACGTCCTTTACAGTCTCGACAAACAGTTGTTATGACAGCAACACATATATTACCTTTATTAATTACCTAAATTAGTCCGGTAATGTGATGGTATTACATTGTATTATGATTATTTAGTCCTGTTAATGAGTCTAATTTATAATATCGATGACACTGTTGATTGGAAGCGTTTTGTCTCTGCGAGGATGAGATAAAGGATTAGTTTGTGATCCACAGATTTAGTCTCCATTTGAAAAAAAATGTGGAGGAGTGTCTCGTTATGTTAACACCCCCCCCACCCCCAAATAAAAGGAACAAAACTCAGGATCAAACTTTAACGAGATTAAAGAAAATTTACTTCGGTTTTTATTTCTTTCTTTTTTTGCGCTTTTTATCAGAGCACATATTTACATTTTTCATCCACTTCCTGCAGTAAAACTGTTCAGGACATCATTCATTACTGAACAGACTCACCTTAAAATCATCGACTTCTGTGCGTCAGACTGAATTCAGTGAATTTATAAAAAACAAACAAAACAGCTGAAACGTACCTTTTACGTCACGATTTAAGCTGTTTTGTCTTTCTACACCAGTGTGATTCTGACTTAAAATCGGACTTTAATTGATTAAGGCTTCGACACACTTTCAGATTATCACTAGTATTATTTTTCTTGCGTTACACTCTGTGCTGTTTGTGTAAATGCATCTGGCTCGGCTCACAGAAGTTTCTGGAAGAATTCTGTATTTGTTTGCACACTTCTTCTTGCTCATTAAACCATTTTCATGCTGCAGCTTCACACATTTGAGTCCAAACCTGAGACCTGGGGTGTTTTTGTGAACCCGCGGGACTCACTGAACAGCCAAACTGAACAGTCGGGTCCGTCTCAGCCGGACCTCAGGCGTCAGAGGTTGGCGTTGATGCCGATCCAGTGCCTGATGAGCTGGTGGGCGATGGTCTGTCTGGGAGGGACGCTGAAGGCTGGACGGGCTCCTTTAAACATCGAGTCGATCACCTGAACGAAGAGAAGAAGTTCTTTAATCAAACTGCAGCAAGAGTTCAGTGTGTTCTTGTAAAGAAATCTCTGTCCACACTGTTGATTAAAGCTCTAAATACCAAACTGAGAGTCACGAACCGAACACATGCATCAGGACTCACGCGAAATCGTACAAAATCATCAGGATTCAGGCCACTTGGATGACTTTGAAGAATCAGGACTTCTTATTTGTGCTCAGACAGTAAAACACCATGAAAATCAGTTAATTTAGAGAAAACCTCTGCTGCAGAGGTGAAGATAATGAAAGAAAAGTTGAGCAGCAGCGCCATCTTCTGGGATCTTACAACGTAATTTCTCACTGAAGGCGTTTTCATTGTTGATTAGTCTGTTGATCATTTAATCGGTTAACTGTTTAAACAATAAAATGTCAGAGATGACAAACGTCTGGTTCTGTCCAAAGACCTTCAGTCTACTGTCACAGAGGAGGAAAGAAACCAGAACATACTCACATTGAAGGAGCTGAATTTACAGGACAGTTTAATTTTTCTCCAATATTCAATCAAACTGATCAACTGATCATTAAATTAAAGCTGCAAGCAGCGTTGGTCGGGTCCTCGGTCTGCGTTGGACCCTCATGCCCGTCTGACTTCCATTTTGACACAATTTAAACCTGCTTTAAGTTGAAGGAGCCATTTTTCTGTCTCTGCTCAGCCTCAGACTGTCAGTGAGTCACATGACCTGCTGCACTGAGCTGTGATGATGTCACGATGACTCAGCGTTTTTCGTGCCCCTGGGTGAGAGCTGAGAGTTTTACTCGCTTTCTCTGACTTTAACTGTCCCATACAGCCACAATTTTCACCAAATGTGTGTAAAAACAGCATATTTTTGTGGGAAATCTTGTTAGGAAGCCCTCAGTGTCATTTTTAAAGCTGTAGGACCTTTAGTTTTTTGTGTAGATGACCAACTGACGCAGCATGTCTGCACATGCCCCCATAGACACCCATACAAAGTATGAGCCGAGGCTGCAACAGCTCATCAACTTTAACGGCTCGCCATTCGAAAACCGGTTGAGAAACGCCAAATCCCTTCAGTACTTTTGTACATCAAGGCCTTCTCTGTCTGCTGTGCGATTTTCAAGTTGGTGCGATTTACGCTGTCAGACGGTGTTTTTCTGTAACTAGGTGGCGCTAGAGAGCATTTTTGTTGGTTTTTTTTCATTTTATCAAATTTTTCGCCGATTCGGATGTGTGTGCCAATTTTGGTGAGTTTTTGAGCGTGTTTAGGGGATCAAATTAAGGCAAACGCGCTGGTCAGGCAAATAAGAAGAAGAAAGAAAGAAAGAAAGAAACGAAGCGGGAACAATAGGGTCCTTGCCCTGCGGGCAAGGACCCCTGCTTGCTGCAGCAAGTAGGGGTCCTCGGACCCTAACTAGTCGGTGGTCAATTTAACGCTTGACAACTTATGGATTATTTTTCACAGCTCCACTAATTAGGGTCCGAGGACCCCTACTTGCAAAGCAAGCAGCTATTGTTCCCGCTTCGTTTCTTTCTTCTTATTTTCCTGACGAACGCGTTACCCTTAATTTGATCCCCTAAACACGCTCAAAAACTCACCAAAATTGGCACACACGTCCAAATCGGTGAAAAATTTGATAAAATGAAAAAAAAAGAACAAAAATGCTCTCTAGCGCCACCTAGTTACAGAAAAACACACTAAAAGGGCCCTAGCGGCCAGTAGGAATGTCGCACAGAGATCAAACCAACACCAAAACGTTTGTCTCAATGAGACCCACAAATCTCGTGCTGATACCCCTGACCTATCTCCAACAGGAAATCCACAATTTGCCTTTCAAAGTAAAAAAATGAGCGAAAACTTCTTTTGGGAAAAAATTATCTTGTCTGACACCGTAAATCGCACCAACTTGAAAATCGCACAGGAGACAGAGAAGGCCTTGATGTACAAAAGTTCTGAAGGGATTTGGCGTTTCTCAACCGGTTTTCGAATGGCGAGCCGTTAAAGTTGATCAGCTGTTGCAGCCTCGGTTCATAGTTTGTATGGGTGTCTATGGTGGCATGTGCAGACATGCTGTGTCAGTTGGTCATCTACACAAAAAACTAAAGGTCCTACAGCTTTAAAAATGACACTGAGAGCTTCCTAACAAGATTTCCCACAAAAATATGCTGTTTTTACTCACAGT